CCCTTCCCCTTCCAAGATGTGTTTCCCCCCAAGATTCCTTTCCAACATATCCAGGCTTCAACCCTTCCCATACCATATTCCCCATGCCCCGCCCAACGAGATGCACCTCCCCCATCCCTCCGTTCCGCAAACCCGAGCGGCAAAATACTACATCCACATCCCCCGCAAACTGGTGCCCACAAATATGGCTAATCAACCCCCACCCTCGCCGCTCCCGCCTACCGAGGTTCTCCCCCTCCAACAAACCCCCTCTCACGATCCTCCCCTTCCACCTCCAGCGCGCCTTCAACACCTCCCACCCTCTTCGCGAGCAGACACCCTCTCAAACTCCCCCTTCAGCAGCGGCCCATACACACACAGTGCATATACATCCATCTATGTCCTCAGACCAGCACCCCCTTCTCTCGCACATCGCGCACGCCCCACAGGGCTTCGCGAAAGCAGGGGCTTGCACAGCAGGCGTTCGCTGTGCACGGGCGACAGCCCGTCGTGCATGGGGTGCAGCACCGCGGGCTGCAGGTACCCGCCCCCCAGGCCCTCGATGTGCTCGAAGGACCTCGCGCGCCAGGAAGGGCACTTTACTTAAACTGCGGGAGGAGGTAGGCCGAGGTGTTTTCCAGTTCGTGTTGGCGCTGGGGCGGGGGGGTGGAGGAGAAGGAGGAGCAAAGCGTGGAGATGTTGTGGAAGGGCTGGGTTACAGAAGTGGGTGGGTTAGTTATGATGTGGATGGATGGATGTGGGGGGGGGGGGGATGGCTTACGTCGCTGAATTTCCCCTTGGGTCCGATCAGCTCGCGCAGGTCGGCCACCAGGTTATCGCCGGCGGTTGTCCTTCTTCGATAGCGCGAATGGCCAGTCCTCCTTTCCGGTGCAAACTAGGACATGCTGGTGCGTAGTTGGATATCAGGCCGTTGAGTGACGCTTCGCGGTCGATCTTAAACTCCTCCGGAAGCTCCGGTGACGGTGCGCATGGACACGTCGGGGCCGGGCAGGTCGGGGTTGTCGGGAAAGGTGGGGGGGTCTTGGTTGCGAGAGGCCGCAGGGTTGGTGTGGCCCTAAATGCCGATCTAATGCTATGAGACTTTGCTCTCAAAATTATTCGGTGTATTGTCATGGCGGGCGAGAATGAACGGGGGGTTTTGGTTGACAGGACTGAAGTGATCGTTGGGAATCCATGGTGTAGGTTGTTCAAGAATCCCGATTCCCAAGAAAGCTGAGCCGGGATGTCGGCGATCGGCGGTTGATGGTGGGTTTAAATCCGAGGGCCCGATATGCAACAATCGATTATTGACAGGAAAATCTCTTAAGTCAATATCTCATGCTTTTCCCAAACAGAATCGACGAAGTGATCACATGCGAGCTTGTGGGATAATGAACTTGACGGATCTTGAAAATAATGTTGTAATCTATAATTAATATGTAGATGCTTTTTTTCTTTCAACTACAACAAAAAAGTCACAACTTCCCGTTCGTCCTTCTCTGTCCACATCCCACTTCTTAACCCTCCCCCCTCCCCCATCACGACCCATGATCTACAGTTTCACTAATCTCATACTGGGTCCTAGAAAATGCCCCGGCTTCCACCATCACTCTTTTGGAGAGCCAGGCGCGAGATATCGCCCCTGGCCGCCCAACTCCTCCCAGCCTGTCGAGACCTGCAGTCTGCTGCCAACGAGCTGCGATGGATTAAAGAGCACGTCCAAGACACCAAGTCACCCATCCCGGCCAAAATTCGTGTCTGGAAATTAGTCGAAAAGCGAGCGAAGGGAATTCCGCTGCAGTATGTTCTCGGAACACAACCGTTTGGCGATCTTGAGATCAAGTGCCGACCAGGCGTGCTCATCCCAAGGCATGTTTTCTCAAGGAATCAACCCCTTTCCTTCCACCATCTACCATGTTAACCAACTCGAACAGGCCCGAGACAGAAGCCTACACCCTCCACCTAGCCACCCTCCTCACCCAATCCCACCTACCACCCCCCTCCCTCACCATCCTCGACCTCTGCACCGGAACCGGGCTGCATCCCCCTCCTCTTGCTACACTCCCTCCAAGCCACCCTCCCCCCCACCACCCCCCATCACCATCCACGGCGTCGACATCTCCGCCACGGCCATCGCCCTCGCGCGCAAAAACCAATTCCACAACCCCGCTCCTTCCTCTACCCCAGCAAAATCCTAACCTTCACCCAACAGGACATCTTCTTCCCCCACCCT